TATGTCAAGTCTCCGGGTCGGATTTTCTGCGAAATCCATCGGATGTGACGTGCATGCGCGCTCCCGAGCCTCTCTCCTTTTCATATACAGTCTATGCGACGGCACTGCAGCTGACGACATGGAGTCTGATAACACCAAAAAACGACCTGCCTCCAGCACAACACAGACTCCAACACAAACTCCACATAAATATAAAAAATAAAACAAAACAAACATTTATCTGCTGAACCTCGTCAGGCCAAACGTGAATCGGATCGACTTAGGACGAAAACACGGATCAACATCGGCAGAGCGTTTGAATTATGGAAAGATTATTTTTATTGTGATAAATTACAAGTTTTCAGATATGCTGAAATAATGGTAAACTGTAATGAAATTGCAAGGTAAACTACAACATATATGAGACATGAAATTAATACAAAAGACATTTCAGTAGGTGCTTTAGGATGTAACTTTTATTTTATGTACTAGATCTACTGTCTAACGTCACTCATCCCACTCCTACCATATTGTTTATAATACACATTTCCAGACACGTTCAGTACAGTAATGTTACTTCCTACGATCTTACTGTTACACTGAAATTGTTCAGTTCGCTAACCGTTTTCGTTTTCATATTATACATTCACCTATGTTGACATTGCTGATTGTGAAGATACACGAATAGTTAGTGAAATGCCTTATGCTAGATAACACTACATGTCAGCTAAATGCAGTCAATGTAATGTTATCATGGTACGAGCATGGAGCATTAGTTCAACGTCAAGCTGATAAAAGTAGCCTATTATTGTAACGTTGCAGTGGGAGTTTACATGAGTTTCCAGCATGTTGTGTGATGCTTTCTCCAGTGTGTTGAAAGTCTCAGTGTGGCCGGTACCATGAGTGCTCGCTCTTGTGTTCGGCACCGAAAAAAGGAGAAGGAGCGAGCCCACAAGCATAAGGCATTTATCTCAAACCCCTTTGGCTTCACTAAGAGACTCCTGGAGCAGAAGAAAAGCGGCAACCTCACGTGCTCGGCGGAGGAAATTAACCACCACCTCAGTATCACTTTCAGTGACTCTGCAAGGGAGCAAGACCTCGGCCTATGCGAGAAGCTCATCTAACCTCCAGAACCAGCGGCCCAGTTCAACATCTCCGGACCCACCTTGAAAGAGGTGAAGGATGCGGTAATGGCAGCAAGATCAAGTTCCGCTCCTGGTCCCAGCGGAAAACCTAGGATCTATAAACAGTGCCCAAGGCTTCTTGTTCGACTCTGGAAAATACTGAAGGTGTTTTGGGAGAGAGGGAAGGTGGCTTTCCAATGGATATCAGCCGAGGGGATCTGGATACCCAAAGAAGAGAATGCAAGCACCATAGTTCAGTTTCGCAAAATCTCGCTGCTCTGCGTCGAAGGGAAAATCTTCTTCAAGATCGTGTCCCAATGGCTAATGGAGTTCCTCTTGAAGAACGGGTACATAGACACCCCATTGCAGAAGGGGGAGTCCCAGGAGTATCTGGATGCTTAGAGCACACAGGACTGGTGAGCCAGTTGATCCGGGAGGCAAAGGAGAACAGAGGAGACCTTGCCGTACTATGGCTGGATCTAACCAATGCCTACGGGTCTGTTCCCCAAAAGCTGGTCAAAGAAGCACTGACAAGACATCATGTGCCAGAGATGATCCGCAACCTCATTCTGGACTACTACAGCAGTTTCAGATTGAGAGTTTTATCAGGAACGGTAACATCTGCCTGGCAACGGCTAGAGAAGGGTATTATTACCAGCTGTACAATCTTGGTACCACTCTTCGCTCTAGCCATGAACATGATCGTCAAATCAGCAGAGGTGGAATGTAGAGGCCCCACGTCTAGATCTGGTACTCGGCAGCCACCCATAAGAGCCTTCATGGATGACCTTACCGTGACAGCAGCTTCAGTTTCGGGGTGCAGATGGCTTCTTCAGGGTCTATGAGCAAGGATGAGTTTTAAGCCAGCCAAGTCCAGTCCCTGGTTTTAAAGAAAGGCAAAGTGGCCGACCGGTTCCGCTTTACCTTGGAGGGGTCACAAATTCCTTCAGTAACAGAAAGACCAGTCAAAGGAAAGTACAAAACCTGGATGTACCAACACGGAATCCTGCCAAGGCTTCTCTGGCCCCTTCTTGTATACGAGGTACCCATGACAACGGTAGAAGCACTGGAGAGAACCATTAGTCAGTTCCTCAGGAGGTGGTTAGGACTCCCACGGTCCCTGAGTAACATTACCCTCTATGGCCATTCTACCAAGCTGCAGCTTCCTATCAGCAGCTTGTCCGAGGAATTCAAGGTCACACGTGCCCGGGAGGTCTTGATGTACCGAGATTCCTCCCATGTCAAAGTCTCCTCAGCTGCAATCTGTGTTAAGACGAGAAGGAAGTGGAAGGCACAGGAAGCGGTGGACAGAGCAGAGGCTCGGCTGAGGCATGGTGTCTTGGTTGGCAATGTGGCGGTGGGACGTGCAGGCTTACTGTCCCCTGAGAAGACAGATTGGAGGAGGCAAATGAGCGCAAGAGAGCCACGTACTGTGCAGGCGAGCCATAAAGAACATCTTTGAGGCCACCGAAAAAGTCTCATGATGGCTGTGGATCCGGAGAGGGGGATCAGTGGAGTTGCACGCCACTTGGACACATGCCGGGGACTGATCACCCCCGGCAGGGTCACCCGGGTGAGGGTGTCTGTTGATTAAAGACCCGGAACACCTTTTGACTCCGGGTTCATCACTGATGACGTGTCCAAGTAGCACCAGAAGGTGTATGTTAGAACTACTGGAACTGTCTGTTAAGGACAACTTCGTCTTCTGAAGCTCGTGGCTAATTGCACCTGCTGCTCTTTGATCTATGCTGGTCTCCAGAGCGCACAAAGGACATCAAGGAGAGGTGAGAACCAAACAACCCCTTTGTGATATCTACTGGTGTCCAGGGATGGATGTTCAGGTTCATGATGCTGTCCGTTCTTGCCACGTGTGTCAGCTCAATGACAAAATTGTCAAAAGTCACATCCTGCTCCTCCCCAGCTGGTGCTGCTGCCAGATGGACTATCGCAGAAAGTGACTTTGGATATCGTCAGACCATTTGACACTGCTGCATCCAGCAGGTTTGCTATTACATTAACTAACTATAATAGAAAATGGCCTGAGGTCTCCTTTACTCACACTGTCACTACAGATTCTGTGATTTTATTTCTGTCATCAGTCTTCAGCCGCAATGAAAATCCATTGAGTATAGTTAATGGTGTTTGTGGTGAGCAGGACGAGGTAGAGGGATGTGAGAGAACGACGTGAGGCCAGTGGCGTGATTACTGATGAACTTCTCTCACGTCCCTCGCCACAATGTTCAGTTTACATCTGCTGCTTTTCTGGACATACGACATACTAGCAATACTTTTACTATTGCTGCAGAATATAGTTCACACCAGGCTCGGCAGAGCCCTATCACGCTAGTCATCTACTTGACAACATAAATCCAAACTATAAAGTATAAACTGGCAATACTGGAATTTATTAGCCATGATTACACTGAAAATACATGTTTAAAAACAAGTTTACACTCCTAAAAATAAAGGTTCTTTCTTGACAGTGATAATCTCACGAAGAACTTTAACATTGATGGAAACATTTAGATTTTTTAAATGTTTTTCACACCAAGATAAAGATGGTTCATTATTTAACTGAATTATTATTATTGTTCTTATTGTTCTCCAGCTATGGCATTGCACCCCCCGCCCCCCCCATTTTTTTTTAAGTCACCATGCAATCAAAATTGACAATTATTTTTTTCCTTTTTTTAATGAAATATTGCAGTATTTATTATAAATGAGGTATCTGTTCAAATCCTTTTTTTTTTATTCATGTGCCCTCTTGAATCAAATAACTCCCTTCCTCTTGCAGTGACATCTCTTCTCTTCTCTGATGACATGATTTGCGGTGCGAGGGTGGGACAACCTGTCACTCACACAGTCACTTGAGATCACAGCAAGAGCAAACCCCTGTGCACATGGTGTAGATTTTCTGCATGTGCACATGAGTTGCATTCAGGCCACTTTATCAAATAAACATCCAACCTATCACAACAATGTTTTTTTTAAGCATTGAGTAGATTTTAAATCTAAGGACTGTGAGCAACATATATAATATCATATTCTGATTAATATTTTTTAAAAATAAGCAAAAGTTAGTATAGCCTCAGCCTTAAGCGATTTTTGTTTGATTGATTCATTAGAAAAGCTTCAAATCAAAAGAGTTAATCATTTGTAAATCTGATATTTCCATTTCTGATCTTAAACTGCTAAAAAATACTTGACTTGATTATTTGATTATGTTATATAAAAATCCACAAAAATAGGTAGGCAATAGCTTAAGTAACTTTAAATTTAATATTAAATTATATTAATGATAGGGCCTAATATTAAATGGAAACGTGTGTCATTACTTCACATGAACTGGCATATGCATTATGCTTGATTAAACTATCTTACTATTTTTGTGTTTATATGCCTGCAAATACTTTCTGTATTTGTAGGCATATAATCTTACTCTTTTTCTTACTAAAATCCTAATATTTTTGTGTTTATATGTGTGAAAATCATTTTCTAATTCAAAATCATCTATTTTGCAATAGAATGAATGAAAGAATGAAACTCTAGTCAAAAATCCTATTTAATTAATTGTTATTTTGCTCCTGTTCAAACTGCTTAAAATGACTAGAGAAAAAAGGAGGTGAGTGCCTGTGTTTTAAATAATATATGATTCCCGTGATATTATTGTGCAGTCTTCGCGTAAATTTACAGCCGCACTTTCTGTGTTTAGACATCTCAACCACTGACATTATGGTGGGGGGCGTTTGAAGTGGCGAAGCACCAGTCTATTTCCACTGACTGTGGAGAAGGGGAGGGTCTTTTTTTTTTTTACCCCGGACCGAGACTGAATCAGTTCAGTACAGTTGGAGCCGGAGACAGACGCCGCATCGACGAAAAAAGACGCGCATCACGACGCGCGACTGGAAAACAAGATTCCGGCGGATGTTCGCAGAGTATTGAATGCATCCTGACTGCATTCATAACGGTGACTCGGTTATAATGTTCTAATGTTTATTCCGCTACTGTAATAGTTCTCCATCACCGCAGAACAACATAAGCAAACGTTTCAAACGAGATTTCTCTTACGGTCGATACTGATGGACGTACAAACGGATATGATATTGTGAACGTTCGCGATCATTTTTTTCTGAGGACTGAGGGGAGAATCTGCGCACTGCAGTGACTCTACATTCAACAATGCACACGACTGTACTGTGGATGTGATGGATATTGGATATATGTTGGCAAACGACGAGATTACATCTTGGTTTTCATTAAGAACAAAGTTTGCTTGCATGGAAACATCATTTGAATTGATAATGTGTGTGCAGTTGCTCATTCACTGTAATTGAGTGGTTCAAGCCACTCTATCCTTCAACAGATGAGAAGCAACCAGTTCCTACAACTTCAATTGTCTGTACTAGAGGAAAAGAATGGTGTTTATGACAGAAATCTCAAAACATATCGGAACCATCCCACGAAAATAGTATCCCAGCCTGGAATCGTAATGAAAGTGTTGCGGAGAAAAAGAATAGTACTATTTATAGCGTATTTTCTGCTGTTAGTTCTCACAATGCTGAACTTGGCTAACTATAGATGGACTAAAGAACCTCAACAGTGTAATCTCCAGATGAGAAGCACTCCGTATCAGGGAAGGTCGGACATCCGATTCCTCTACAGACCATCTCTTGCTAAGAAGAGACAGCTTGTCTACGTTTTGACCACATGGAGGTCCGGTTCATCATTTTTTGGAGAGCTATTTAATCAACATCCAGAGGTTTTCTTCTTGTATGAACCTATGTGGCACATCTGGCAGAAGCTGTACCCGGGTGATGCTGTGTCCTTACAGGGAGCAGCGAGGGACATGCTGAGCTCATTGTATCGCTGCGATCTTTCAGTTTTTCAGCTGTACAACAGTCCTGGGAGCAAAAACTTCACCTCCCTTGGACTTTTTGGGGGCACACTTAATAAAGTCATCTGCTCGTATCCTCTTTGCTCAGCTTATAGAAAAGAAGTAGTTGGGATGGTGGATGACAAAGTGTGCAAAAAATGTCCCCCACAAAGCCTCAGTCTTTTAGAGGAAGAATGCCTCAAGTACAACACTATAGTCATAAAAGGGGTCCGGGTTCTGGACGTCAATGTTTTGACGCCCCTTATGGAGGATCCGTCTCTGGATCTTAAGGTGATTCACCTCGTGCGAGATCCCAGAGCCGTGGCCAACTCCAGGATCAAATCGAGGCACGGGCTGATTCGTGAGAACTTGCAGGTGGTCCGAAGCAGGGATCCCAAACTCCGTCGGATACCCTTTGTGGATCCCGGCCACAAAATTAGTAAAAAAGATGGTGCAGATTACCATTCGGTTGGGGCTATGGAGGTGATATGTGATCAGACGTACAGGAGCCTGAGGACTGCCTTAAATCCACCCGACTGGCTGAAAGGGAAATACCTGGCAGTGCGCTATGAAGATCTGGTGGATAACCCTGTCAAAACGCTCCGGAATGTTTATCAATTTGCCAATCTCAGTACCAACCTAGACATTGAGTCTTTTGCTCTTAACATGACTAATGGCACAAGCTCTTCCTCAAAGCCATTTATTGTGTCGGCCAGGAACGCGACACAGGCGGCCAGTGCATGGAGAACAGTGTTGAGTATTCAACAGATAAAACAAGTAGAGGAGTACTGCCATAATGCAATGGCCATCCTGGGTTATGAACGTGTAAGAACAGCTGGAGAAGCAAAAGACCTGAGTAAATCTTTATTGACTGCCTCCAAACTGTGACAGAGTTCTTGCACTAGAGATGCTTTCAAAAGCCCACCTGAAACTGTGGATTTGTTTGTTTCAATCAAAGTGCTTTTGAAAGATTTCACTATCGCTTTCTGGAATGTTCATAGCTCTTTGTGGTCATTCAATAGCATTGTTAGTTTTCTAAATGAACCAGTAGATGTTTGATACAGCAGCATCTGTGAACCACAGCTGGAAAATTTATATTGTACAAAACAAATGTTGCATTGCCCTTTTTCCCTTAAATGGATGCTTAAGGTTGTTTGGAATGTTCTAGGTCTGTTTTTGAGTTTCAGTTCATTTGCTGTATGTAAAATCAAGAAATGAAAATGGAAAATGAGCAACAAAAATACTGATCAAAACTGTTATGCAGAGTGCAGGTAATGCTATTTCTTTAGAATTAATTCAAAGACAATCATTAAAGTTCACAATGAATGCCAGTGTTATGTGTTGTGTAAGGCATATTTCTCATTACCAAATAAAACGTTAAAGCATTTCTTTACAAAATCTTAAAAGCTATATTTAATTTGGCTGCTTATAGTTCCAGGCTTATTTGATCAAGAAAGCCTTTGAGTCCCCTTTACGTCTGCCTTCATTATATAAGGCGAAAATTACTGCATTTTAACAAAGTAAAAAAAAACAAAAAAAAAAAACACTGCAAAAATGGTCTAGTTTTAAGTAGTTCTGAGAAAAGATCTAGCAGCATTTGTTGGCTTATTTGTTTAGTTTGGTGTTTTGTCATGTACAGTGTACAGTAGTGCAGTGACATTCAGACATTTTGTCATATATTTCATCCAAACTCGGAAGTAGGTTCTTTTAACTCAAGTATCAGTGCTAGTGCTGTCAAATCGATCAATCATGATTTATTACATCTAACATAAAAGTGTTTGTTTACATATATATATATATATATATATATATATATATATATATTATATGTGTGTGTGTGTGTGTATATATATATATATATATATATATAAATATATATATCAGAATATAAAATTATATATTAAAAATATATGTATGTGTATATACAGTATACACACACACACACATTAACTTTCACATTTGTGAACAATGTTATGTAAACAAATACTTAGATGCAATTAATCGTGATTAATCGATTTGACAGCACTATTCAGTGTACACAGTGGGACTTCAGAGTCCTATATTGGTCACAAATATAATATTGATCTGCATTGGTTATGCAGGGATGTGAATAGGAGTGAGAGAACACTGATGCTATCAAACATAGATTTAATTAGGGTGTCACTTGATTACCATTGATTGGTAAATTGGTAAACCATGAGACTGGTTTAACTGAGTAAAGGGACTGGTAATATCACTGCACAAAGGGTTGATCCATAAACTGTAGTTACAGAGAGAAACTGCTTTTGATGCTAAGACTTAAAAACAAAAAGTAAACAATTAAGGATCACATCAAGGACGATAACTATAACGATAAAAATATAGTTATAAAAATAGTTATAAAAAATAATAAAAAAATAGCAGAGTCCACATTATAGTGATAACGGCACCAAGAAAATCTATTGTTGGAATCACTTTCAGAACGTTTTTTTCTGATGACCTATAAAAGCATTGACAGCCAATCAGTATCCATCCGATAATATTGCTTTAAAGCTCGAGTATTTAAAGCGGCAGATGACAACTGCAGCGCGCTTATAATAAACAAAATTATATTTTCCGCTGGTGTGGATGCTAATATTGTTATTGTTATCTATCGTTATAGTTATCGTTCTTTGTGTGAACAGGCCCTTAATCAGAATTAACCAATTGTCTTTCCACTTTGACTGTGGAACTATGTGAAGTGTCAGATTTTAGGCAGCTTTTAATCATTTTATGAAAATTGTTTCTTTGATACACTATAGTGCATGATGGGGAGAAAGCAAATAGGACTAAACCACAAATTTTTCAGCTTAAAAAAAGATGAAAAAAAATGCAATCATTCATACAGATCAACTGGTTTTTTGTCGGACTTTAACAAAAATTACACAAATGCGCTACTTTGTTGTTAGAATAGTAAGTAGCCTAACAAAAAAACAAAAACAAAAAAAAAACCCTATAATAAGTAAATCTTTGGTTATATTTGACCCAAATTCAATGGCAAAATCTCCCAAACAACATTTCTGTATTAAATGCAGTTATTTTCAGCACACATTTTACTGACAATAATAATAATTTAAAAAAATGTTCACGTGCACTGTAAAAAATAAAATGCCATTTTTACGGTAAAATACCGGCAGCTGTGGTTGCCAGAACTTTACCGTCAAAAATATGGTACAGACGTTATTGGTTTTACAGACTTGACTTAAAGGGATACTCCACTTTTTTTGGAAATAGGCTCATTTTACAACTCCCCCAGAGTTAAACTGTTGAGTTTTACCGTTTTTCAATCCATTCAGCCGATCTCCGGTTCTGGCGGTACCACTTTTAGCATAGCTTAGCATACATCATTGAAGTGGACAAGACCATTAGCATTTCTAAAAAAAAAAATGACCAAAGAGTTTCGATATTTTTCCTATTTAAAACTTGACTCTTCTGTAGTTACATCGTGCACTAAGACCGACGGAAAATGTAAAGTTGCGATTTTCTAGGCTGATATGGCTAGGAACTATACTCTCATTCCTGCGTAATAATCAAGAAACTTTACTGCCGTACCATGAGTGCAGCAGGCGTAATGATATGACGCAGCGCCTGAAAATAGGCTACCTTCCGTCAACACAACGGAACTATTTTCAGGCGCTGCGTCATATCATTACGCCTGCTGCAGTCATGGTACGGCAGTAAAGTTTCTTAATTATTACGCAGGAATGAGAGTATAGTTCCTAGCCATATCAGCCTAGAAAATCGCAACTTTACATTTTCCGTCGGTCTTAGTGCACGATGTAACTACAGAAGAGTCAAGTTTTAAATAAGAAAAATATCGACACCCTTTGGTCATTTTTTTTTGAGAAATGCTAATGGTCTTGTCCACTTCAATGATGTATGCTAAGCTATGCTAAAAGTGGTACCGCCAGAACCGGAGATCGGCTGAATGGATTCAAAAACGGTAAAACTCAACAGTTTAACTCTGGGGGAGTTGTAAAATGAGCCTATTTCCAAAAAAAGTGGAGTATCCCTTTAAAATTTACAGTAATAAACCGTATTTCATTATCTGATATAATGTTAATTTACCAACCTATTTATGTATTAATATCTGTTTTGTACCATTGTAATACACTGACAAACAACAATCATTACAGCAGTGATGAAAGTCACGTGATTAATCTAATTTCATCACTAACAGCTCTTCCACAAGAAAGTTAATAGTAATATAAAGAAGCTGCACAGTGTCATTCGCACAAACACTAAACAGCATCATGGTAACACATGAAATTTTTAAAAATGCAATAAACATTAATTTAACAACATTAAATGTAACATAAAACTCTAATGTACATAACTGATAAGAAAATAACTAAGAACACTAAGAAGAAACAGTTATTTCAACAAAAATACATCAAATGTGAAGTGTCGCGCAGGGAATTGTGGGAATGTCAATTTACGGCTTTTCACTGTAAATTATACAATGAGTTGCTCTTTTTCACTTTCAAAAACTGTAAATTTATCGGTATTTTACAGTAAAATTACATTAAATGTACCGTTAGATCTATCACAGTTATTTACCGTATATATAAGGAAACTTTCTGTTAACCAATTAACAGTTTTTTACTGTAGCATTTTTACAGTCTTTTACCGTTAAAATCACGATAATTTTTTACAGTGTGGTTATGATAGCTCTCTTGATACTAAGAAGACACAAGGGTCATTGTCTTTCTTGTACCACAGTTCATTGTATTTAGGACTTCTTTACAGCTTTCATATTTCTCAAAATTAATGGATGTTATATAACCATATTTAATTGGCTTTAAGAAACAGAATGTCTTCAGCTAATCTTGCTTGAAAGTAAAAATGACATTACATGAAGGCCAAGTATGGTAACCCATACCCGGAATTTGTCTTCTGCCATCCAAGTTAGTGCACACACATTATGAGCAGCTTGCACACAAACACACACCCGGAGCAGTGGGCAGTTATTTTGCTGTGGCGCCCGGGGGTTAGTTTGCCTTGCTCACACTCAGTCATTTTCTGCCGGTATTGAGAATCAAACCCCAAACCTTCGGGTTACCAGTCTGACTCTAACGATTAGGCCACGACTGTGCTAGCTACCAACACAGTCTGGCTACAAACAGACAGGAACACGCTTGCGCAGAGTTTGTTCCCCATGTACATCATAATGACTGGGTACCATAGCATCTCTCTGCTTGCCTCTGATGATGTCTTGTGCAGTTGCCATGACAACAACTCAAGAAGGTGCAGCTATTATTGTGTATGAACTGAAGCAGGTGGTGAAGACTCAACCTTATCAGAAAGAGAGACAAAGAGAGAGAAGCTATATACACACCCTTGTTGAATTAGTATATTGTACACTTTTGGTGGCATCATCACATGTTGGAATTGTCCATGTTATGACTGGATTAGATGTTATGCCTGTGATATAGGTTTGACTGTAGTTTTTACATTGTGCCTCTTTCACTGCACTTAACAGCATGGAGGATGTTCTCTGATACAGGATTCAGAATTGACTCAGCGTGGATATGAGTTATTTTGGCATTATGCACAGGGTACTGAATTTTGATTTAGGCCTACAATGACAGGAAGAGGAATATACTCAATTGACTCAAGTAAAAATTTGATACTTTGATACCCTGATACTTTTTTCCCCCTCAACCGGGTAGACATATTTCTCTCATCTTACTGTCAAATCATTCAACACTGCCATCAGATTTTAATTTTGTCATTCTGCACCACAAACATATTGTTTTAGGATAGCTTTATAACATCATACAGAATCATCATAATTATGGAGTATGTTAGAACATTCTGGGAAATTATTCTTATTCTAGTATCTGACTTTTAAGTTTCAAAATATCTTTATATTTGATATTTTTATATTACTTAAAAAATATAAAATAATTTGAGAACCAAAACTTATTTTAAATCACATAGGCTATATTTATGGATATTTCAAGTGAATTTTTGTGACATCATCAAGAAAACTATTTTAAGAACAAGTAATTTGTGGAAATACAAATGGGTTATTACTGCAAATAAACAAACAAATAAACAAACAAGAAATAATGCAAATTTATTAATTAATACTTTAATATAATGACTTTTTTTGTGCATATACCTATTTCATTTTAGGCATTTTTGCTATATTTAAGTTTGTTTTCCCTGTTTTAACAGAGGCATTTTTGCAAAGTTCTCCTGCACCCACAGTGTTACAACCCCCACCCCCTCCCCTCCCCTCCTCCACCACCATCCACAATGTAAATGATCCTGAACTTGAATCTACTGGGGTCAAATGGACCATATC